TTCAGTTATATTGTTCAAACTGTCAGCTAGTAATATAGAACCATCAATGCAACCGATGAATATTTTATCTTCTTTAGGGCTTGGAGATACAACGCAACAGTGAGTTGGTAACAGCAATGAAATGATTTGAACAATTTCAAGTTTTCCATGATTTACTTCCATGATAGACCATTCCAAAGTAACTTCTCCCTGGAATCAAATCATTCTTATAATAACATTAAAACTTCAATTATTTAGTGTATTTGACAATTGAACTGTCAGCAGAAAAAATGTTGGAGGTTACAAAATGCAAACTTTACAGGAGAACAGTATTTAATAAGAATCTTATCACAGTTGGTTGCTCTTTAGAAAAATTCACACCAAACCAACATTCTTTATCGAGAAAAACATTTTCCATACAGCAATGAAATTTAAATTTCTTGAGTCATATCTAACATGGCTCCGTATCTTAAAACTTGAAATATTGTTTTTAAACAAGCGTAGTTCTGTCTGCAAGCTGATGTTATTAAAATCAATCTAAAATTTGAATGAATTGAAATCTCATCATCAATCCTATGATTATTAATTATTGAGGAAAATTTCCACTTACCATATAAGATATCCTCTGTTGAATAACATGGATAACATCAACATTAATAGTGCTGAAAGAAACATGTAGAGGATCGTATTCTGTTTTAAAATAACACTTTAAATCCAGCTTACTCCTGTTAAAAATTTTAAATGTCATACAGTTAAATAATGAATAACAATACCTTAACAAGCAATAATAATCTAGTAAATATTTCTTTTAAAATATATTTTCATTAGTCTTAAAATATTTTTTAGAAAACTCTTTACTATTATTCAACTTTAAAAATGTGGAAAAGAGCTTATAAAAAGCTCAATATGTAATTTTTCTATAAAACAATAAAGATGAATAATCCATAAAAGGAAATATTGTTTTACAATAAGAAAATCTAGTAAACATTAATTAATTATTAAAGTAGTGAAAAGTCACTAAAAAAATATATTTAAAATTTTTTTTTTCTAATTTTGATATAATAAATAAAGAAATTGTAGAAAAAGAATAGGTAATATAGGAACAAATTAATCAATATCATTGGTTTTTTCATTAAACTAGTGTCCAATTAAGGTGAAGCAAGAAGCAGGATTGAAAGTGGAAAGGAAAGTAGAGTGAAACAGGGTGGAAAGTTTTACAAATAATAAACACAAATAAGGTAAAATATTCAAGATAGCAGAATAGGAAAAGTTCAGAATGGTTTTAGAGGTTAAATAATAAATTTCCAATGAAGTTTAACATTGACTGCGGTTCATATGCATTTTTCAGGAATAGTTAAAGTACAGAAATATTAAAGAAGATGAGAAATTTTAAAATCAAACTAAAACAATAAATGACTAACTGTTGATTGCTGTAAATTTGTATGTTTGCACGTTCTTCATCTTTTACTGAAGGGGTCCAAGGGTAAACTTCATCATTACTACATTTCCACCATATTAACATCTATAATTACAAAAATTAATTGCTGGTATCAATATAACAAAATAATATCGATGTGATATAGATAAATAAATTAAGAAAATTGAAAGTCGTACCAAGCTATTATCAACATTGAAACATATTCGCTTATCAACTCTTCTTCCTGGAGGACCTCGCAGCTCAACTATTTGAATTTTTGGATCTGCAATACTCCATTTCTTTTCATATTCATAATTCATCAAAGGTTTTGAAAAATTAATAAGGTTAACTTGATTATCAGTATATGTACAAACAACTTGATTATATGTCACAGCCACTGAAATGAGACATTAAATTTATTTAAAAGGTTATATTAATATATATAATACTATAGATGCTGAAAAAAATCTTTGTGCTTCACATAACTTTTACTTATCATTCTAATTTGAATAGAACTTATTTTCTGACAAAATTTGGCTACTACACAAAGTTTTAAAAGTGCATTTTTAATGAAGCTACACCTTAAAGAACATATTTCTGAATTTAACTATTAAAATCAAATCACGATTCAACTAAAGAAATTATAAACTAGAACAATTGCCATCAGTTTAATTTCTATAATTTTTTATGGCTTTATATATTAGATATTATTATTTATGAAATCTTGAGTTTTCCAATGATATACATACACATATATTGTTGTAGTTAATAATTCAGAAACAAATGTTTAACCTGAGAAAAACGTTTTTTCATTTTAATAGTTTTTCCCTTTTTTCTCCTTTAGTTATCAAATTCTTTCATACTTAATATTGAGCCATTACTTACTACCAGCAATGAGATACAGTTAATTATTCCAAATGAAAGGTACTTTGTTTGGAGGAAGCTATTTGGAAAGTATGATATTTAAGCCATGTCAGACAGTTACAATAAGCTTAAAACCTACCTAATCTTGAATACCATCGAATATTACATTTATGTGATGATTTTAATCAAAATCGTTAGCCATATTAAAGAAAATCGAGGAAATGTATTAAATCGATGATATACATTTTCACTTCTTATTAGTTGATTTTGATGAAAAAATTGCTGCAACATCCCAAGCATATTACAGGTATTCCCAAGCATATACCCCTACCCTAAATACATAAATTCATTTTCATACATGTAATTTTTGAGGTAGTTTCTTCACATAGACACACAGACATACAGAATTATTGTAATAATTGATCATCATAGCTCGTGCTACATTCTATGTTATAGAATTAATCATTTTCTTCCATTTATTTCTCAATTAAGCAATCAAAAAGTGAAAATTCCTTCTTCTTAAGCTCCTTCATTTCTTATACTAATATACATTTGTCACAGCTATAGCTTACTCAAATCTAATAATCTAATCTAATCAAATTAAATAATTGATCAAAATACTTTTTTAATATTTTAAAAATTTTCCGTATTACTATTGCATTTGATATGCAAACATAATACATGCTCAAGATCTGAACAAATCTCTATTGAATCCTTCACCTATATAATCAGAGGCTCACCCACCAGAAGTAGTTATTAAAGGAATAAAAAAAGATATAAGGCATGAAATCAGGATTTTCAGTAAATCTTATGATGTGATATGTAAAAACTAACAGCAATATAAACAAGGAAAACAAGTTGACAGCCATCATGACTTAAATTGAAAGGTTCTAAAAAATGTAAACTGGTCAATTTCATTTTAATAATACAAAAATAGATTAAAATAAAAATATACAAACCATCACATAAATATTGCGAACTTAATTTTCCCAACATATATTTGTCAAAAGAAATTTCTTCAATATCTGCTAGCTCGGAATTCACCTTAATATTAATTTTGAGACCACTTCCAATAATAATCTGGATATGAGAAGGACCTCTCCAGTCACATACTACTATTCTGTTATGGCACAATATTTCCTAAAAGATAATTAAACAATATCGTCAGTAATTATATCTTTCATAGTTTACAGAAAGGTTTCAATCATATGCATGATTAGCATATATAACATTTGCAGTCAGTTTTAAGAAAATCGATCACTAAAGTGAAGTGAAAGTTTAAAGTAGAGTAGCAACTTTCAAAAGAGGCAAATTTAAATAGCATTGATACATCCTTGGCCAGTATTTAAAGTGTCCCATCGGAATTTCTCAAAAATATTACAAAAATCAGAACTTAATTCTGAAGTTATGTATGCATCATTAATTTATTCACCGATTGAAGGTATTGTAAGGACTTTACAGGGCTTTTATAAAACTGTCAAGATTTTGAAAAAAAAATCACAATAAAAAATCTCGGATAAATAAAAATCTTGAATATGTTAGTAATCAGAAATGTAAACAAGCAGTATGTATCCAATGGAGGGAAACTCACTGATAATTTTTCCTTGAACCTGATATGAATTTGAGGACAACTCAATGGTTCAAAGCTTCATTCAGATGAATCAACCAACAAGGTTAGAATAAATAGGGTTTAATTATTCCTTAAAATTGTTAAAAAGATAAAATAAAGATGTAACTTTCATGAAGATTGGACAAAATATTATTGTTAAGATCACTTTTAATCTTGAATCAAAGGATAAAAACACAGTATAAAAAATATTGCTAGCTTAAGAGAATATTGTACACGCAATAATTAATTAGAACATGATTAGCTCTAAGATAACATATCAAGTAATAGGCTACCTCTAGCTCTTTTAAAGCATCTCTCAGTTTTTGGGGTCTTCTGTTACTTGGTGAAAACACTAACCCCCTTTTAAGCATGTAACTCTTCTTTCCTTCAAACAATATACCCTGAGGTAACTGCTTTTTGTCATAAAACCTAAAAAAATGTTTTTGATTAATAAACAGATCTTGAAAATTTTGTGTGATTGAAGAGACTGGGGACATAGGGCTTAATTAATAATATAAAGTGATACAATTCCTTACTTGAAGGCACCGAAATCTGTATCCTTAATATTGACAACATCTTTCTGTGTCCAAAAATGTACTTCATGAAGTAATGTCAACATTTATAAAAATATTTGCCATAAAACGTACTTAGCTCGTTATGCAAGAGACAAAATATCAATTTAATGTGAGGCATAATCAATTATCTATTAAAATGACAATTAGTGTACGGAGACGTAAAAAAACTTTCAAATCCTCATGACCTCCAATAAGACCAGTTGAGCCTTCAATACTGTTATTCTATTTACGTGTTTACATCAGTGTTGCCTTTTCACTGTTATAATTGCTAGCATATACTCATATTTGGATTCATTATCTTAAGTACATTGGCTATTTAATTCTTTCAAAGACATATTGTTAATAATTATCCAATTATTTAATTAATTACATCAAAATAATTGTTGTTGATTATTTATAAGCAGAAGGTAAATGAAATGGTTGGTCAATCTGAAAATGGAATGTTTTGGTGTTATCTGTTACTATTGTCAAATCCTATCATGTAATATAATGTTTATAGTTAATCATGATAATGTTTCTGCTCTTTCAACCTTAATCATTTATCAATCTTCTAATCATGGAACATCCAAAAAAAAGCCAGTCTTGTGAACTCTACCCATCTAAGAAGGTATGTCATCACAATTTTATTCTATTAATCAAAAAATGAAAAGGGATATTTTAAGTTGTAAAGTATTTTATTATTACAAAATCATCACATTTAATTTTTCATTTAGATGATCAAGGATAAGTATTATTGTGTTATAATGGTACTAATAGACTTCAACATTTTTCAGTGTTTGTTTACCAATTTTTACATAATTCTGTTGCAATGACTGTTGTCATTTCCTAGTAGCTGTTTCTTTTGCTAGTTAGTTTTTCCAAAATTAAACCTCAGGTATTTGGTATAATTTTTAATCAGTAGCATTGAAGTCATTTGCATATTGTGGAAATGTCAAGTTAAAAGTATCTTAAACGCTTGATAGTTTGTAAAAATAAAAACTTATCTGTTTTAAGGAAATACATAATTACCATGGAGTGGTTCATTCTGTCATTTCTTATGGCAAAGAAGATGATCAGCAATTAAATGGAACTCTTAGTTTAATCCAGGAGGTATTTATTTTTAAATTTTGTATAATATATTTAATGTTATTAAAATTATAGTTGATAATTGTATGTGTTCTTCCAGAGTGAAAAAGTTGTAATAGAATGGAGACCTAATGATGTCTCAATTGATACAGAATGCCAGGAAGATACAGAATGGGCACTAGTTAATACTAACACACGTACCAGAACATCTAGTGGTTGGTTTTATTTACATGGATATTTATTTATAAACCAAGCTTATTAATTTCTCAAATTGTTTTAATTCAAACAGACTCGTTATTACAATGATTCATTACACTTTGTTAGTTATGAAAAAAAAGCTCAATTTATGTCTATTGATATAAAAATTCAGAGAAGAAATAAAAGCAAAGCCTTGTCATTTTCAATATTTAGTTAAGTAATGTTTAAATAAATTAATACTCATTATTTATTTAGTTTCTTTAATTTAAGAGGTGAAATATTCCAATTGGATATGAATCAACATAATACTAGTCCATACTTAGTGAAGTTCAATGGTCATTTGATTCGTTGGTATTACTGATGATGTTTCCAATATTGTATGAATAATTAAACACAGTTTTTTTCTAAAACATTGTTACTGTTTTGAAGGGAGCATTTAAGATTTTATTTTACTTTTCATCAAGCAATTTTATTATATAAAGTTTATTTAAGAAAAATCCTCAAATAACGTGGTTTGTAATCATCTGTAGAGGATCCAAAGGCTTTCAAAATTGATTTACATTCAACAGAAGTTGAATCTCATTTATGATTAAAGAACATGTTCTTAAATTTAACTTTCTTTATTGTGTATGTCTTAGAAAAAGTTTATAAAATACCTGTGAATTAAACAGCTAAAAATTGTAGTAATATTGACCATCCCCATAATTATCAATTAAATTTGAACTAAAAATTTATTTATAACTGGATTTATTTAAAAGAACTAAGAACAGAAATCAAACTCCTTACTAATTATTCTGTCAAAACAAACATGGATTGTGTTAAGGCAGTTTTTATAACAGTTAGATTGACATTATGTGAAGCTTTAGCTAAGAAATTTTGTTTTGTAGCAAGTGAATTTAAGAAATATATATATGCACATTATATTCTTTAAATAGTAAGTTGTTTGAAGTTAAAATTATTGTTTTATTACAATAAGCCAAATAATTTATTGGCCTAAAGTGGGGTTATTCAAAGAATGTTGAGTAAAGTTTGACATTTTATAGTTTACCCTTTATTTTATTTTCATTGTGACTATTTTGGGTTATTTCACAATCTTGTTTTGATTCCATCCAAAAATACTTTTTGACCATTATCATCTCTTATCTACTTTGATATTAATATTCTTATGAAAAGAAATTAATCTATTTATCTGAATAACTAATTATATTACTCTGAATATTTTTAGAATCTTAACTGCATTATCTATCTTTAAATAATGGTTTTTATGTTAATCGTTTATGATTTCATAATTTATATCAACTCTAGAACTATTTATTCTGCTCCAATTATGCATAAATATTTTATTCTATTATGACACTTAAATAAATTAAATTACTTAAACTTTTAATCAACATACATTGAATAATGTATTTTTAATCATTTCAGTTCTGACAATCTAATTGCAAATGAAATATTTTTTAGGGTCCGTTGATGGAGCACTATCCAAGCTTCATGTGAACATTATGTTAAATGATGTGAAAACCATTAAAGTTTCTAATAAGAAAAATAAACTCACATTCACTTTGAAAGATAATAAACAAAAGGTGTTCTTTTTTCATTTTGGAAATGTAAACCAATTTTTTGAAGAACTGCGCACTACTGTAACTTTAAAAAGGTACTTTTTATAATTATAACTATTTAGGAATGGAATTTAAGGTGATGCATACCTGAAATAAGATGTCATCTTTTAGTTATATATTTTTTCAAAGAGAATTATTTGTTAATATTTTACTTTTAAGATTTATGATTTTTCTGATAAAAATCATATTTATATCAGTTGGATTCGTAGAACTGATTTACTCTTTAATATTTTTTAATTTATCTCTTATTTTCTCGGTTATAAACAGACATGATCATAAGTATTTTAAACCAGATTTAAGACATTTAAAATAAAAAATATTACTATTATTTTGGAACCGGTTAATATTTTCTGAAGGATGTAAAATTGAAACATTTGATAACCAAGGAAGTCAAAAAGTGTGGAGGAAAATAAATTCCACTTTGGAAACGAGAAAATAGTCCCCACATGTAAACATGGGGTGTTACACACTTGAATTTACAGATAGTGTACTGGGTTAGGTATAATATGTTGACATTTTAAAAATAAATCTTCCTATTAGTTTATTTTCTATTGGAAAACCTAATTTCACCCCAAATTACAACTGAAATGTGGCTCCTCTGCAATGTACCGAAATGGATAATAACCTCACCTTAGTGACTGAATATTAATCCTACAGAGCATCCTAAGAAAATAAGTGAAGTATCAAGTCCGGAAACACAATATTTATAGTTTAAAGAATTTCATTACTGAATAATAATAATAATTTATATTATAAAATAATTTTAGAAATTATTAACGTTTATATGTAATAAGATTATCAAGTCAATATATTAATAAAGTTGATCAAATTTAGACCCCTATTATAACAAATTACCATGTCACATGTGAAACAAATAAAGAAATAATAATAATAAAGCCTTAGCAAACCCGATGGTTCTTTGTTGATACCACCAATCACTGTTTACTTATTTAATAGTAATTAATATTAGTATTAATCATTACTGAGTTGTGGTACAAAGTTCCAGCATGCCAAGAGTCTTGAATGTGTTCTAAAATTCAAAGATATTATCAAAACCTTTTATGATTATTTATTTATTTATTATACCTTATTTTGATTATTCATTTTTAGTGGAATCTATATTTAATCAATTAAAGATTAGATTTTTAAAAGAAGGACCACAATGTTGAAATATGATTATTGGAGTATTGTGGTCTTCCTTTTAAAACCCTAATCTAATATTCACTAAATTTAGTTATATTTAATAAAAGCTTGGATATAAATTTAAAGTGGTAATGTAATTTATAAATTTATTTCTATGACAATTTTATATGATTTATATGGTCAAAAATATATTGTTTTTTTTTTTATTAAAATGTTAATGATCTTAATTTGTATATAATATATAAATATTTATCAACAACCTACATGCTGATGACATTCGTACACAATTATTTTTTACAATATTTACATTAAATTATAGTGTAATAATAGCTAAGTGGGATATTAAAGTGGATAACAATCCGTGATCCAACACTGAAACTAAAACACATTTTTTAACATATATTTCTTGTTTTTTACATCCTAAACTTTAATTTTTTTTTTTTTTCAGATCGCACCATGATTCTAATTTATATTTTGTACATGATAAGAATGCAATCGTGCAGTCATTTTCTGATTTAACGTTGGTTGATAGAGGAGGAGATACAGTTTGGAATTTAGTCGGTGATCTCAAAAGGAGACCATACGAAACGACACTATCTACATTTTCAAAACTTACTGAATTGTTACGTATGTACTTTTCATTTTCTTTCCTCCTTTCAAAAGAAACAAGTTATCTTGAAATATCACATCTTTCCCCTTTTGTGATGTGGCAATAATTAATTTTTAGTATAATTATTTAATTAATTTCAATAAAGATTTATGTAATAGGGTGTATTAAAAAAATTACCGTTTTATCAAATTCAAGATTTCAAAGGACTATAAATATTTTAATCCTATTTAATAATTAACAATCCCTTTAGAGCATTCTCTAAGCTTGTTTAATCCCATTTGACTTCTTCAAAAAAGCCTCAGTTTAGTTATTTGTTTCAAAGAAAAAACATGACTGTGTCCTACGAAATTCTTGTAATTTTAAAGCATTACTGGAAAAAAAATTGGCACATTGGTTTGAAAAATTTAGGAATGGAGATACGACATTGGAAAGGAAGAAGGGCTCCAGGTGACCATTAATGGATATTGATGAGGTTCTGCAGGAAGCTGTTGAGTCAAATCCGTCCACAACTGCTCACAAACTTGCCAGGGAGTTTGGTGTGTCAAAAGATACTGTTAGTCGCCATCAACTCTCCATAGAGAAGGTGAAAAAGAGCAGTGGTCCCTCATGAACTTGCTAAGAGGTCTGAAATTTGTGAAAATTTATTGAAAAGCCCTTCTGATATGAGATTTTACCAGAAGATTGTCACCTGTGATGAAAAGTGGGTTAACTGGTGAAATTCAAATACCCGTGAGCAATGGCTAGATCAAATTGCGAAAAATCTATGCTTTGCGCTTTTTGCGATTTTGAAGGTGTTATTCATCATTAATTAGTTCCTGATGGTTGCTCTATGAATTCTAAACTGTACTGCGAACAACTGGAAAGATCTGAGCGTTATCCTGCTTTAATCAACCGAAAAGGAATTTTATTCCAACAAGATAATGCTTGTCCTCACACTTTCCGTCGAACCAAAGAAAAGTTTAAAGAACTTAATGGGTTCAAACTCCTGCCTTATCCACCATATATTCCAAACCTTGCACCATCGGATGCTACTTATTTAGATCCATGGCCCAATTTCTTCAAGGGAAAAAATTTGATAATTTTTCGGAAGTTGAAATTGCGGTCCAAGAGTTCTTTGAAAGCCATCTCAAAGAATGGCATCAGCGTGGGATTGATAATGCTCGTCCTCACACTTCCCGTCGAACCAAAGAAAAGTTTAAAGAACTTCATGGGTTCAAATTCCTGCCTCATCCACCATATATTCCAAACCTTGCACCATCGGATGCTACTTATTTAGATCCATGGCCCAATTTCTTCAAGGGAAAAAATTTGATAATTTTTCGGAAGTTGAAATTGCGGTCCAAGAGTTCTTTGAAAGCCATCTCAAAGAAAGGCATCAGTGTGGGATCGAGCAATTAGCTAGCAGATGGCTAATGGTGGTAAATAACAATGGACGATACTTTGAGTATTAATTGTATTTTAAATCAAAGAAATAATAATCCAAATATTTGGTTGAAAAAATTGTCTTTTTTTTTATACACTCTGTTATTTATTCATTTGAATGAATGAATTGCCCTTTTATTACAATAATAAAAATATATTTATAACAAAAAACTTATGAAATTAAAGATTATTCAACATTTATTTTGATCTCTTTGTTTTGAAACAAAATCTGGTTTTTACAATGTTTATATGAGTCATTTTATAATTTTGGTCACAATAATAGGACCAAACCACAACTGAAAGTATTTACATAATTTTTCTTATGTGCTTTCTTTTTGGATGCACATTTAACATTAATGTTTAGGAAATATTTTAATTTTATGAGGCAGAAAAAAAATGTAAAATGCTATTTTCTAGTATTTTCACTAACCTAGATGTACTCACATAGCTAGCTGTACATTGTAAACTATTTGATGACAACAGATAATTATTAATAAACTTAATTTACTGATGAAATTTGTTGTTTGTAACTGTGTTAATAGTATTATTTTTTTTTTCTACTTTTAATTTATTTCATTTTATTGATTATCTATTTTTAAATAGCTATTGGATTTTAGTTTATAGAAACCCTGAAGCTAGGCCCGAAGGAGCGATGGTGGAGATTCTTTCATCATTGTCATCAACTGACGGTTGTCCTGAAGTAGATGATAGCTACCATTTTATCTGTCCAGTATTGGGTCCGAGGAAGCTAGAACCAAGAGGAATCCCTCTTTCACAAGATCATTGGGAAACAGCCAAAGACACTGAAGGGAAGATAATTAATCCAGATCACATCAAACAGATTATTTTCAAAGGAGTAAGTTTTTTATGTTACTCCAGTTCACAAAATATATAAAACTAAGTTCATGAACATGTTCCATAAGACAAAAACACTTTTCATGTATTGACAAAATATTTGTCGTATTGCCTAGTTGTTCCTGATATTCTTTTTTATTTTGTATAATTCTCTGTTCTAAGCCATCTTTTTAATAGAAGCTTTCCTTGCTTATGTGCTTCCCTCAAATTTAGTTCATCCGCACTTTTTTTTTTGTTTTCCCCTCCCTTGCCTTTTTAGGCTACACTCGGTTTTTCCTGGGTGGGGGAAAAGGGTGGAGAAATTATGCTGAGTTAAAAGTCCCACTGGGATTTGAACTCATAATTATTTTCTATCTCTAAATTCAGCAATCAGGTTGCAGGGCGGGGTAGCCGAATGGGCTAATGCGTGTGCACAGCTCCTCCGTTGCCCGTCAACCTGATATAATATAAAGTGATACAAAAAATGGTCACGACTTCGCGTCCCGGTGCCACGGGAGTCTTTTAAATCCCCGCCCTCAACCCCTGGCCCGGGTAAACCCTGTATAGCCTTAAAGGCGAGGAAGGGAAGGGAAGGACCCAAAAAAAAGAAAAAACCCGCCCCCCAAAAGTTCATCCACACTTTCCTTCCCATGTCCCCCTAATTTTAGATGCTCCACTTTATTTTAACATCTTGCAATAAAAAAATCGTCAATGCCCAATCTATCTCCATTACCTTGTTTTCTTTCCTTTTTACCTCAACAGAGGTCTAAACTCATCAAAATCCTTCATTGAAATTTGGCCATCTCTTTATTCATTGATTAAATCACTAATAACTCATTGACTATTTGGGCTGATAGATCAATTGATGTATAAGCTCAATGTTATTATTTCTGTTTTTAAAATCAACAATACAGTATTTCATAATTTTTTTTTTCCATATGAGTCTGGTAAATATGTTTCATTTTATATCTGTTTTCACAATATTGAAGAAATTTATAATGTAATACTTTCCTAACTAATTATGAGTTGATAAATATTATTATAAAACATATTTGCTTATTATGAACATATTCCTACAAAAAAATCGAAATAGAGATCAGGTCATATCTGACCTGATGGTACTTCATTTCTTCTCGAATCACTGTACCGCCTGAAGGTTAACAAAGAAGCTGCACTTTGCATGCAAACAATGCAAAGTTAAATAGCTAAAAGATGGCTTTCAGAAGTTATTAATGCGTGGTATAGACTCCTTTTTATTAAATTATTAACATCTGTCATAAACTTTGTGAAAGGCTTCATCTTATTGTAACCTACAAATTGTTTACCTACTAAAATTCTCATTCGTAAACCAATGACTTCCTGTCCTACAGTTTCCTTTAACAATACTCCACTTATCCCTGTTGAGCAAATCCGCTACCTAGGACTCCACCTGGACAAACGACTAACTTGGAATTCTCATACCAGACTGAAACGAAAAAACCGCTCGACGTTTCCGATTACTTCAACACTTACTATACAAACACTCTAAAATTCCAATTATGGGACTCCACTAAACCATCGAATTCCTCTTGTATCCAATCCTTGCAATCCAAAACCCTTCTTAAAATCCTCAATGCTTCCTGCTTTGTTACAAATAAAACCATCCATAATGACCTTAATGTTTCTTATGTTTCAGATCTGGCCCAATCCAGATACCTATCCTTCCATAATAAACTTCAGAATCATCCCAACCCTCTCGTTTCTAACCTTGCTTCCTCTTCAATTCCTGATAATCCTCCGAGGCGTTGGAAAAGAAGATGGCCCCGTGATCTCCTAATGTAGACATATCATTAGAGTGCTACCATTGGGTAGTTACTCAACAAGTGCTTTAACGTCATCCATATGTTCAAATTTACTAAATATATTTCTTTAATACAGTTGTAAATATCATTAAGAAATAATAATAAAAAAAAAGAATTCTCATAAATACCAATTTGAAGGTGGCCTAGAAAAATATAAGGCCATTTGGTTTATATAATCTCATTATTTTGACATGTTGTGGTGAGGTCACACCAAACGACCTAATATTTTTTAGGCCACCTTTATTCTACTTTTTTTTTTCACTTACGATTCAAGTGGAAAGCAAATGGGTGTTCAAGCCTTTTTAGTTCCTACTTAAATACACAAAATCTACCAATCTTCAGATTGAAACTCCGATTCTGAGAATTTTTATAAATAAAAAATTTGCAGGTTACAATGATTACAATAATGTGATGAAGCTATATACCAAGTTTTAGGCAGATGTTAATAATTTGATAGAAAGGTGCCTGTGTCATGGACTATATATTTGATCAGGACGAAATAGGTAGTTATTTCAGCGTGACATTGAAAGGGAATATCAGTCCATATGAATTAATAAGGCATAGATTATTCTCAAGGGCATTACGCACATTTGTTATTCATATAAAAATTTAAATCTGTATTGCTACATTTCGGTCGAAATGATCTATTCTCTCAAGCAACCCATTATTTGAATTATATGATTTTGAATTGATACTTATCTTTCTTTATAGCATAAAATAGTTCATTGACCAATAAGCTCCTACAAACAGACATGAGATAATGTGATAAGTAGAGATCGGATTTTTGTCTACTAGTAAAAACTTATGAAACTTGCAAAAACTTACAATAAAAACTAAAAACGTGCAAAAAGCCCTAATAAAGGATAAAGCATTTGATAACATGATATATTAAAAAATAAAATACTCAAAATCTAATAATCTTTAATTTATAAAACTATGTAAAATAAGAAAAAATGAAAACTATTTTAACGCTGCTAGAAAAAATAAAATTAATTATTTTTATTGAGGCTTAGTGCTTTGCACATTTTTAGTGTCCTATTGTCGATTACCTACATTTTTTAAAAGAGAAAATGCCCTTTCTACATCTATAGTAATTAGAAATTTAAAATATTTGATACAACAAAATTAAAATGGAATCCATTGTTGTGTTTTGATAAAATTTTATAACTATAATTTTTTATTGTTTTTTTCACTTTTTTCTGATTCTTTACTTTTGTTCTTGAGCAAGCATGTTCTTCCAAAGTTTCTACTTATTCTATAAATTTATTTAAAAAATTTCTGAATATACAGCGCAGCAATAGATTCAATTTCTCCACCAGGTTGTTTCTCCTTTAGAAGGGAGTAAGGGACAATTTATAATATCTTTGTTCAATACATTGATGTTTTTGTAAAAACCGTGATTTTTATTTATAACTTAAAAAATTAATAAAAAACAATTTTATGCAGGAAAAAAATCCTTAAAATGTTCAAATGTGTGCAGTGATCCCAAAACATGCAGTTTCATACAAAATAAAACTATTATTCTGTCGTTGTTTCGCTGAATTTGAAGCCAGCAAAAAAAAAATAAAAAATACAATTGCATGAAAATCTGGTCTCTAGTGATAAGTATTAGGCTGTTAATAAATGACAACGCCTACATTACTTTGCTCCTTTTGTTCTTAGTTTACAATGCTTATTATTTTTAAATGGTTGGAAATTACACGGAAGATTGAGGATTATTCTCATATCTTTAAATAATGAAATTATTTAAGTAGTTAATTCAGTTGTTTTTTTACGCTGAATCCAACTCCTAAGAGTTTTGATACCTTCAAATGTGACGTTTATTAATTCATTTAAAAAAGCAAAACAAATTATCAATAAATAACAAAAAACAAAATAAAAATTCATTGTATAATGTCATTCTTACTTAGGAAGTTTACGAGAGGCAACTTTACTTGTATATACATACTTAATCCACAATCCCTAATATTTACAAATTTGGGCCAAGTTTGCTCAAAATTATTAAAATGAAACACACGCATAAAGGATGGAAGAAATAATAGAAATGAACTTCTTTTGATTGCAGAGCTAATTCCAGTGAGTAATGAGCAATTGATTAATTCTTCATATTTATAAATGGTCCACTTCAGTATATACTTAAACTTAACCCTTTAATGTTCAGAGCTTTGAATTCAAATTTTCTTATAATGCTATGTGGCCTACCTGATATGCCATGTTTGAAAATTTATTTGAACCCAAACAGGAAGGCAGGTAACTATCTAAATATTAATAGAAATAGAACATAGGATGACCATATAACACGTGAACGTAAACATTCTGCAACTTGACTCAAGAATATGGCGGAGTTTTATAGGTAGTTGGGTGTGGCCTATCCCATAGGCCTCTAAGTATTAAAGGGTTAAGATTTAAAAATTGAAGTTCCGCCTCACTATTACTAACCAGACCTAACTTCTTTTTTTTTATATTGGTCCATTTTCTAAAATGTTATAAGTTTTATTATTGTTCTGCTGTTAGCTTAATATCCCTTTAAATGTCAACTTTTCAGTCTGACTTTAATTTTTAAAAAAATCTGGTGCACGCAACACACAACTTTCACTTATCGATCTACTTTCAACCTTACTATTATCAACCATTATATAATTTCACAGTGATAAATGTATTATAGATAGTACCGCAGTTTAAGTATTTGGGCACTGTTATCACTGAGGATAATAAGATTCGAAAAGAAATTATGGCAAAGATAGCAGTTGGCAATCGATGCTACTGGTCTCTAATGAAAATATTGCGAAATTGGAATTTATCCTGAGCTCTCAAAATAAGAGTTTATCGTACGGTCCTTCAGCCAGTGGTCCTGTATGGATGCTGACACGCAACGATAAAAGGCTGTTAAACATGTGGAAAAGAAAAATCCTCAGACAGATCTTTGGCCCTACAAAAGAAGGAGATCGCAGGCGGATGAAGACAAATGAGGAACTTAGAAATTATATGAAAAATCAGATATTATTGCCAGGATAAGATGAGTATGGTAGCTGGAAAGTAGAGGACTACCAACAATGGTGATGGATGGACACTCTAATGAAAGAAGGTGCAGAGTGAGACCTAAACTTCATTGACTGCAGGATGTGGAGGAAGACATTCGGACGTTGGGTGTCGGCAGATGGAAAAGGGCAGCCCAAGGGAGGTCAGAGTGTAGGAGGATCACTGAGGAGGCCATGATCCTACAAGGATACCTGATCATTCTCTAATATACACATTTTTAATTTAAAATGTATTCAAGTTAGTGAGTTGAAGCTGGATACAGAAATTTTTTTGAATGACTTATATTTATTTTAAAATACTTATCCAGAAAAAACAATGTTTAAACTTTTTTTTCAATTTAAATATCAATACTAAGTGATAATATTGTTTTGTTCAAAGTATCTTTATGTTTGTTCAGATTTTTATATTCAAATATATGGCAGTCCCAAAATACGAGAATATCACAGTATAAATCAACAAACCGAATTATTTTGTCATTCTTCAATTCCATTATGAAATCTTCATCAGTAATTGAGTGAATAAACTAGATTTTTGTTTATTGGCCTAAGCCGACACTGTGTCCATACTTGACGCATTGGTAAAGCCAATTTATGCTGCTCGGCATTGTGTGGATGGGACATATAATTTTAGGTTCCAAGTTTTAACTATTGTCTTTCATTTGTTGGTAAATTCTATCAATAGGCAAGTTATCCAAGATAAATTTCAGTTACTTCTCATTTTGATTATCCTTTCTCTTAATAACACCCTTAAATGTACTCATGGCTATTTTTTTTTTTTTTTTAATTTTAATCATCTGTAAAATGTAAGAATTAGTGGAAAGATTTGTTAGGATGTTTAAATTATCTTGCGTTCTCTCTCGGCTTCAATGCATGAATTTATACTGATTTCTCAGGAACTTTTTCAGTTGTCTAAACCAGTGATTTCCAAACTACTCCTCATAGGCCATCACCAAAAGCTCCACTAATCCTAGCATAGTTTAGTTTATTTTGAATACGTTTTAAGGTTTACAATGTAACAAAATCATACAAAATAATTATCAGATTTTTTTTTTAATGTGAATTAAGAAACTAAATAACTTTTAAATATAATCTAACTTAATATTATAATTATAATTAATATGCATATGTTTGTATGATAAATCAGGTAGACTTCGTAACTTCATATTAGTGTTGAAGTCAGTTTGGCATTAGAGCTAAAATGTTTGAATTCCTCTGATTTTAACTGATGAATGTTTTGTTGTAATTATATCTTCGAGTTGTAATTAGGATTATATTGTAGAAATTTATTAGGATAGAATAGAATATATATTTATTTGTTTTCGATATTGGCCCTATACAAATACAAATGGAATGGATACACACATTTTCATTAATACAATATAATATTAGTAAATTAATTTCCAATACTGAAATCAAAGTACAAATGGAGTGGTACGAACATTGTGATTATTATAATATAACATTAGTAAATTAATTAATTGTACTTGAATCAAAGTATTCTTTTTTTTTTAATATATGTTTTTTTATCTATACTAAACACATTAATCAGCAAGGAATACTATTCATCAAATAATATAATATAATACAAGGTAACATAAAACAACATAATAATATAACTTTATAACCGTAATACCATACAACGGGACATTAAAACCAATTATTACACCAACAACCCTGACACTACAAGGTACTACTATTACAGGAAATCACTTGTAGAAACTGTTTACATTATTATTGCGTTCAATCATATTGTCATGTATGATATCTACAACCAAATAATTTTAACTTTTTGGTTTATTATGAATAAAGTAAAATATTAATTCATTCCGCTGACATTTCTCAATTATTTTTTTCTTATTGCTGATTATTAAAAATTTCTGTTGTATTATAAATGTATTTCATAATTTTTCTTCCTTAGGGAATAACTCCTAGCTTGCGACCTGAGCTGTGGAAATATTTGCTATGCCTATACCCGTGGAATTCTACTAAAAAAGAGAGAGAAGATATTTTAAATGAGAAAACCGAAGAATACAAACGAATGAGGGCACAGTGGTCGACAATGTCTGCCGATCAAGAGTCACGATTTACTTTCTTCCGAGACAAAAAAAGTCTAGTCGGTAGGTAATATTAAATGCTATTTATTTATATTCGTATTTATTTTAAAATTAGAAAAAAAATTGAATAATGTATAACTGTGTTTATTCTGTTCATTATTCCTAGATTTGGTGTCTAGAAGTTTTCACTTTTATAAATTAAGGCCATTTCTCCACCAACATTTTATTAATTTTTTATTTTATCTCCACAACGTTTCGACACACTAGGTCCATTGAGTACTCCACTAAATTTCCATTATTTGCTGTCATTTTCATTTCTCAAAGAACAATTAAAACTGTTCTAATATTTTAGAGTCTCCGGAAATGAGGTAGAGGAAACTGTAAAATATTAGGACAGTTTTAATTGTTCTCTGAAAAATGAAAATGACAGTGAATAATGGAAATTTAGTGGAAGACTCAATTAAAACTTGAAAATGGCCGAAACATTGTTGAGATAAAATAAAAAATTAATAAAATATTGGTGGAATAACGGCCCTAATTTATAAAAATATAACTATATTGGGAAAGTAATTTTTTTGTTTTTTGTTTTTTAGAAAAAGATGTCAATAGAACAGACAGAACTATGCCATTTTATGCAGGTGCAAACAACCCAAATCTCGAACTGCTCTCTGATATACTTATGACTTATATAATGTATAATTTTGATTTGGGCTATGTTCAAGGAATGAGCGATTTGCTTTCTCCTATTTTGGCTGTTTTAGGCAATGAAGTTGAGGCATTCTGGTGTTTCGTAGGCTTTATGAACATAATGGTATGTTTTTGTTTTTTCTATTATTAGTAGTAATCTTGTCACTCCAGTAGCATATAGTGTAGTACATTAACCTTTCCTAATGGAAATTCATTGTCAAAATGGTTGTGATAAGTCCGTGATAGTGTTGGGATGTTTAGTAGCAATTTGTTCAATTTAAACAGTTTCTTTTATTAAACAGATACAGTAAACTGTTTCACTGGAGATTAAACAGATACAAGGGATTAGCTTCCATTAGGAAGAGGCAGGTTCTTACAATCAGTGCTGAACTCATCGATGGCATCGAATAGATCTCTAAACTGAGCAAAATGATGTCATGATGAACTCAGTGGTGAGTTTAGGGACTTACCGAGGCCATCTCCCAGTACAGGTTTAGTAGGTGAGACATCGACACCGACGAGAAAAGAGGGAAACACTGAATTTGTTAAATTAAATAACTGATCGAAACAGATACAGAAGCTGTTTAATTTAAGCAGATACAGAAATCTGTTTCATTAAAAAACTTCTTGCAACAGATACGTAAACCGTTTTCTGAAACAGATACAGCTCTACTATGTTTTAAACTGTTGTGATGATTGTTTCAATGAAACACTGGCCATTGCATTGTTGCAACTTATAAAGAGCTATGCAGTTTCTATTCAATGGACAGTTCTATTCTATTCAATTCATTTTCCTATCTAAGTACTATTTTTTCATTATTTTTATCAATAAATTTACTTATTATCTTTAAAATATGTTATGATATGAGATTAATTTAACAATTAAATCGATAATTACTTTTGAGATAAAAATTATATTCATATCTTTTAAAATAGTGTAAAGGTAACAAGACAATTTTTTATTTTATTTTCTTTATTACTCATCAAGTTTTGAAACACTTGTATCTGTTTTTTTATTAAACTGTTTTTAAAAGTAGCAGAAACTGTTGCAACTGTTATTCATGATAAACAGTTTTGCCAATCACTAGTATTTAATGAGTTCGATGTGATGCTTAAATTGTTAGAGGTTGCCAGATGTCTCCTACATTAAGTTTATTTGAATCCAGTCCTCATTTTTTCATAAAGTTTTATGACTAGTGTCTTGTTTCACATATAAAATATTTACTGGAAAAATTATATTTATTTTATACTTAAAGCCAGTCGTAGCATTTACTTACTTATTATTGTTATTTTCTGGATCTTAGGTTTATTATTTTAAAATAATCGGGTCTTTTTTGCTTCGCTGCCGCAAATCAATTTTCAATAAAAACATATAATTTTTTCGCACTGTTTACATGCTTGTTAATAACTATCTTTGCATAGTTATGACCTCATTTTCAAATAAATAAAATATTATGTGTGTTCCACCAACAAACATAAACAATAAAAGTTGAACGACCAAAAAAAATGCTAATTTAATTTTAATTGCAAAAGATTCATTATTTTTTTATTACCTAAATACTCTAAAAGATACACAATAAATAACCCAAACGGTAGCAGTTAAAAACAACTTAAACTAAACTCATATGTTTTTAATAAAAATAGATTTGCGGTAGCAAAGTAAAAAATACCCAAATAATCTATACTGTTTTCTCCTATCAAGAGAATTTAATTTTAAATATTAAATTGATCTTTCAATGAAATTATATTCTCTTATTAATTATATATAGCAAATAATAGTTTCATATCTGAATAGATTTTTTCCCCTTTTTTTTTTTTTTAAGTTATTGTGATTTGCAATAAATGTGTAATTGCATCCAATTACTCCACAGATTTATCTATATAGCATTTTTTAGATTTTAAGTCTCATACATTTTTTTATAGTATGGATTGCATAATTTTCATTACTTTTATTTATTTGTAAAACCCTTTCTTAATTACAAAATATTTTATAAGTTTCCAATTTTATATTTATTATGTATTTCATAATTTAATAAACACTGAATAAATGTATTTTCTTATAATTATTTTTACATATCCATCCAGTAAATTTTTGCTTCACCATTTACAAAATGTCTGTTTCTCTGTTTGGTAAAAATTATAATTTAATTTATTTTGAATTAAAAGAACAAGAATCAATTATTTTCTGTAATATAAAAATAAGGAATTTTCGTAATTTGGCTATTTGTGATTGTTTGAGAAAAGACAAATTTTTCTTATGTGAACGAATATGTGTTGATACAAATGAAATTATGTTTAGTTGCAATCAAATACAATGAGAATTCGCTCATCTATGAAATGTTTTAGTTAAGCATCTTATAAGTTTCTGAATTATACTGTGAGCATTTGTTATTTACTATCATTTAACTGTCCAAATACAGTTTTCATTCTTTCAAGGCTTATGATTTCTATTAATCATTTCAGTATCATAATTTTGATGAAGATCAATCAGGAATGAAAAAGCAGCTAAGTCAGCTTCATACACTATTGACTGCAGTGGCACCAGATCTAGCAACTTATCTAGATAGTCATGACTCAGGTAGCATGTGTTTCTGTTTTCGTTGGCTGCTTGTTTGGTTTAAAAGAGAATTTCCCTTGGAAGATGTCAATGTTTTATGGGAAGTAAGTATCTAAACATATATAATTAGAATTACAGTGAATGTATGGTGGTATGAATGTATGGTTTCCTTATCCATTGAGAAAATCTTGTAAAAAATTTCTTTTAGTTAGAATAAATATATAAAAGAAAAACTCAACAGAAGTTTTTTAATATCTTAAATCAGGCGGGTGAAGTAGAAAGGGAAAAGAGGAACATCTATGGTAAATGTATCCCTTTCCTGAAAGAGGAATTCCGTGAGACCTTCAGAGAGAGAGAGAGAGATAAGAGTTCATCATGAGAGGCCTCTGGTTTGGGTCTCGCGGGATGATTCCAAAAAGAACAAGGAACTTCTTCGAGGAACTAGGTGTTAATGTTGGGGATCTTGCGATATTGGCTGAGAATATTATCCTGGACTCCCTGGGAATCATTCATCATCACTTATATAGTAATTTACATGAATTGAGGATGTCTTTTATCAACAATTTATTCTATTTTAAATTGTGTATAATATGTAATTTTACATAAAAGGTTAGCGGGTATCTGACTGTTTTTGGGACAGGAATTTGAATAGGAGGGTTTTGAATGTAGATAGGGATGAAGAATGGCGAATTTTGATAGGAAGAGAATTCCAAAAATTAGCAACAATGTACAAATTATGTCCAAATGGATTGATCGGTATGCTGTGTGTAAAGCAACCCTATGTAGTAGGGGCAACCCTATGTAGTAGGGCAGCACTACTTTCAATAAAGTATTCCTCTCTCCCTCCCTTTCCCTCTCCCCTACGAATCAAAGGAGCAAACTGAACGTATTCTCTTTAAGACAGCCCCTGTATTCTATACATTATTGTACCAAGTCAATACTAATAGATTTGAATGATGTTTTATGTGTACGAGGGGCCTCATAAACCATATAAAGACTGCAAATCCTGATTGTTTGTCATCCTTATAATTTTCTATATTAGTATAATTTAGGCCAATAGAAAATAATTATATCAATGACAAATTTAGAAAATTAGCTGATCCTAATTCAGTGAACCTTTTTTTTTTTAAGTATAATTAAAATTTTGTTTATTATTTCAGGTCTTATGGACTGGTCTTCCCTGCACCAATTTCCACTTACTTATTTGTGTAGCTATTTTGGAAAAAGAAAAAAATAAGCTCATGAGTGCTGGTAATGGACTAAGCGAAGTATTGAAGGTAAATAACAAAATTTTTGTTTTAAACAAGTTTCAGTCTAAGGAAATCTATCCTTCATCTTTTCTTAATAGAAAGCAATTTTTTTTTTCTCAGACTACCTAATTAGTTCCCCGCATGATTGTCTGACGATAGAATAATTAGGAATGCTTGCTCTTCCTTCTTGTGAGATTCTCATTTTAAACATACATCCATCCACCGACAACCATCCAAACATCTGCCCTACAGGATCATTATCATAAATTCTGTTGTAAAATTTTTTGGTTTCTAAAAATCATGAGTTTTATTTAGTTTGTTCACCATCTAATTTTTCTTGGCATATCTAATTTTTCTCTAGTAGTTTTGAATTTGGTACATTCTTAAATTACGTGTTAAACAGTTCATTGATCATTATAGTTTTCGCATGTCGGGGGGTTCAAGTGCTTTTAATTAGTACATATGAGGAAATTTGTAGTGCCCAATTTTTTACCGACAGAAGACAGTCTTTTCCTGATTCTGTTGGTAGTTTTGACTTTTTATCTTTTTTTATTTTTACTCTTATTCCCATTTGGTTTGCCACATTTTCCCAATTTCTACCTTTGTTTAGTTTTATTAAGTATTCTCTCTGAATTTCGATGATTGCTGTTACTGGGAGTGATCCCGGCTTTCTTTCCTAACTAGTCTACCTGATCTGCTTGTTCATTACTGGAGATTCCACAATGTGAAGGGAACCAAATGAACACTAATTCCTTACCATTCTCTTTTAATTGCCACCACATATTTCTTATTCTTATTAGATTATTTTAGGTCCGGTGTTTGCAATAACAAATAGTGCACTCATGGAATGGAGTAAGTTATTATGGCGGATTTGACTTGATATGCCCAAGAGCTTTCCCTATTCCCACTATTTCTTCAGTAAATATTGCACATGTATCCAGCAATTTGAAGATTTTTTTTTATTAGGGCTTACGACCGAACATCCCACCTCATTATCTGCTTTTGATGTGTCGCTATATAAGACTTTATATTTCTCCATATTTTGCATAAACAGTTTTTTTTTTAATTTTGTTTATGACTGTTTCATTAGTGTTAAAAATAAATTTACATTAGCTTAACTGTTTACCATAAGTATGTTATATATATATTTTTTTTTTTTTTCAGCATGTCAATGATTTATCTTATAATATGGATTTAAATGATATTCTGATGAGAGCAACTGGTATTTATAATCAACTTGATCAATCCTCAAATTTAACGGCCTCAACCCAAAGAGTTCTCGGACTTGCTCATGATCTGATATCTGTCCAACAGAGTCAAAGCGAACCTGAAGAAATTGTTGGAGAAGAAAAAATAGATGTTAGTATGGAAAATGGTTATGAAAAGAGTATAGAATATAATTATTTTTGAGTGTATGATTTATGTGTTTACCCACATTTTCGCGTACCCTCTTTGAAACTGGTATGTTAACTGTTTAAAATTATACGAAATATTCATTCGAATTCGAACGAGAAATTTAAATATTAAAAAATTTATTAATTAAAATTATTCAAAAACTTCTTGATTGTTATAACATATTTATTTTTTTATGGATTGTATTTTTGAATTCAATACTTAAAGTTGAGCGTTTGTAATAATTTTTAGGTATGTTTTTGCTTAGTATAGATACATATATTTTAAAAAATAATATATTTGTTACTTTGCTTTTTAACTTGGAACATATCAGCCAGAAATGTCAGTGAAAATGAAAAAAATAGATATTGTATTTTATTTCCCAATGTACTCTCCTTCAGTTTATGTTTGTACCTTTCATTCATTGTTTTTTTTTTTTTTTTTTTTTTTTTTAATGGAGAAATTTTCCCAAAAGTCACAACTTCTATATAAAAATTATTTTCTTGTTTAAAAATATTTAGTTATTCAAAAAACAAATGAAATACTTCTGAAAAAAGTCTAAGGCCCTCCGCTCACGAGGCGAGAAAACTCGAGGAGAACTGTGCGTCAAGCTTAACTTACTCGTCATGTGCGTCAAGTGCCTCCCCAACGAGGCGAGAAAAATCGAGAGTTGCACTCAACGAACTGTGCGTCTTATGCGATTTTAGCTACAATATATATGTATATTAATACTTTTTAATATCGGGAATGAAGACATTGTTTTTCACTGTTAAAACAATTTTTCGGCAATGTAGAAGTAGACGAAAATAAGAAAATAGTGTAGATAATTTTCTAAATTTTTATTAGATTTTCCTCTATTATCTTGTGAATAGCTGATAGGCTTTTTATCATCGATTTTCTAGTGACAAACCATTTTCGACTAACGAAAAACTAGGCGAAGATAAAGAAATAGTGTAGAAAATTTTCCAAATTTTCATTCGTTTTTCCTCTTATATTACGGGAATGGACGCTCGATTTTTCATCGTCCGAACAATTTTCCAATTGTTTAGAGTTTGGCGAAAATGGGGAACGAGTGCGAACCTTTTCTAAATTTTCATTCGCTTTTCCTCTTTCATCTCGGAAATGAAGGATCGGTTTTCTAGTGTTCCAACCATTTTTCGGTAATGTAAAAGTAGGCGAAAATAATGAAATAATGTAGTGAATTTTTATTCACTATTCCACTTTTATTTCGAGAAAGGATGCTCGGATTTTCACTTTTCTAACCATTTCCCAATTGTTTAGAGGAAGGCCAATGAAAACAGTAGTGGTAAAAATTTTCCGAATTTTCTTTCACTTTTTCTCTTTTATACGTGAATGGACACTACGATTTTCACTGTTTTCTAACCATTGCCAACTGTTTAGATGTAAACCAACGGAAATTGTAGTGGCAAAAATTTTCTGAATTTAGATTCGCTATTCCTCTGTTATTTGGTGAATAGATGCTCGGTATTTCATCGTCTCAAATATTTTTCAGCTGTTTAGGCGAAAATTAATGAAAAAGTGCAAACATTTTATGAATTTTCTTCAATAAGCCCATGAAAGCAGTATTGAAATTATCGGTTTTCTCTTTTTTCCAAGAGTTTTTTCGGCAGTTTAGAGATGAGCAAAAATGGGGAAATGGTTGAGAAAGGTTTCCGAATTTTCATTCGTTTTTCCTCTTTTCTCTCATGAATGGATTTTACTATTCCAACCATTTTGCGAACTGTTTAGAATGGAGACAGTAGTGGTGCAAATTTTCCGAATTTTCTTTAGCTTTTCCTCTTTTATTACCTGAATGAATGCTCAGTATTTCATCATTACAACAATTTTCAAGCTGTTTTGTTTTGGTGAAAATGTGTAAAAAGTGAAAATTTTTATGAATTTTATTTCCTATTCCGATTTTCAGTTCTCCAACAATTTTTCAGGCAATGTTTAGGTAGGCGAAAATGGAAAGATGGTGTAGATAATATTTCGAATTTTCATTCGCTTTTCCTCTTTTCAAACAATTTTTGAACGGTCAAGCGACGCAAAAATTTCTTCGAGAAATTCGCGAAATTTTTTGAGCTGCGAAAAACGAATATAAGCTATGTTCCTCCCTAAAAAATTATTTACTCTGGACTGATTTTTAACAAATATTATATTTGGTTGATAGCTACAGTATTAGTATAATTTGGACCAAACTAACTATGTGGGGGTACATATTTTTTTTATTGGGAAACTAAATTTATATTCGGTTTTCTCACAACAAAAACCCTACAAATTTGTATAGCAATTGGAATTAATTCGAAGCGAGAGGGCCCCGAAACATGTGGGACTCCCCAACCACACTACTTCTAAGTAAATTTCTACATAGATCCCCAACAAGGCGAGATGGAATCGTAGCGAGAGGGAGACTCGAACTCGAAGCGAGACGACTTGAACAAGAAGCGAGATGGAATCGAACTGTGCGACAAGTGCCTCCCCAACGGAGCGATAAAAATCGAGAGAGCTAGGCGCGGTGCCCCAACAACACTACTTCAGAGTCAATTCCTATATATCTCCCCAACGAGAGAGTAGAAATTCAAGCGAGATAGCAGTGAACTGTTTAAGCGAGAAAATTCGAGCTTGACGCATGAATTAATTTATAAAAAAAATTATAGCCGTATTATTAATAATAAAAACTGATTCTTGTTTCTATTTCTTTGATTATTTCTATAGTATGATAAGTGACATTTTATTTAGGACTTCTTTATAGTGTAAAAAATTTTACGAATTTTCGTTCGCTTTTCCTCATTTATGTTCGAAATGAGTGCACGGATTTTCAATGTCCCAATTTCTAAAGATAGGCCAATGAAAACAGTAATGGTGAAAATTATGCAAATTTTCATCCACTTTTCCTCATTTATTTCTAAAATGAGTACTCGAATTATCTTCTTTCCAAAACATTTTCAGCAATGTAGATGTAGACAAAAATAGGGAAATGCTGTAGCAAATTTTCCTTCGCTTTTCCTCTTTTATCTCTCGGATTTTTAATGTTCCAAACATATTTCTAATTTTTAAGGATAGGCCAATGAAAATCGTATTGGTGAAAATTATTCCAATTTTTATTCACTTTTCCTCATTTATCTTCTGTATGAGTGCACGGATTTTCACTGTTCCAAACATTTTCCCAATTTTTAAAGATAAGCCAATGCAAGCAGTATTGGAGAAAATTATCAGAATTTTTCAGAATTCGGAAAAGTTTTGCACTTGTTTCCCATTTTCACCCAACTCTAAACAATTGGAAAATTGTTGGGACGATGAAAAACCTAGCGTCCATTCATGTAATAGAAGAGGAAAAATATAAGAAAATTCCGAAAATTTGTATCACTAATGTTTCCATTCCTCTTCCTCTTAATGGAATGATTGGAATTGTAAAAATCTGAGCACTAATTCAAGAGATAAAAGAGGAAAAGCGAAAGAAAATTCGTAAAATTCTCTACACAATATCTTCATTTTCGGCTACTTTTACATTTGCGGAAAATGGTAAGACCACGAGAAAACCGAAGCTTCATTCCCGAGATAAAAGGAGAAAAGCGAATGAAAATTCGGAAAAGTTTTGCATTTGTTCCCCATTTTCGCACAACTCAAAACAATTGGAAAATTGTTGGGACGATGAAAAACCGAGCGTCCATTCACGTAATAAAAGACGAAAAACGGAAGAAAATTTCGAAAATTTGTACCACTATGTTTCCATTCCCCTTCCTCTTAACGGAATGATTGGAATTGTGAAAATCCTAGCATCCATTCGGAAGATAAAAGCGAATGAAAATTTGGAAAATTTTCTACACTATTTCCTTATGTTCGTCTACTTCTTAAAAATTGTTTTAACAGTAAAAAACAAAGTCTTCATTCCCGATATTAAAAAGTATTAATATGCATATATATTGTAGCTAAAATCGCATAAGTCGCACAGTTCGAGTGTATCTCGACTCTTTGTGTTGGTGAATTAAGCGAGATTTGACGAGTTTGACGCACAATTCTCCTCGATTTTTCTCGCCTCGTGAGCGGAGGGCCTAATATTATGTATATTATAGAAGTAAATTATTTTTTGACAAGAATTTTTAATAATTTCAATAAGAATTTCCTCTTGTGATATATCATTTGATAATAATATATCATCTAAAATTCAATCTCTACATTATGAAAATATCACACTATCTTTTGATTTTTTTTTTTTTTTTTTTCAATACTGGATTTCTTCTTTTCTATCTTAGTCTAATAAAAAACAAAACAAATCAATAATATATATAACAATAAAAAATAGGTATAAAGATTTTAAAAAAAAGGTATAACATAACAAAAAAAAAAAATAGGTAATAAATATAAAAAACATAAAAAGTCTTTATTAATAAAATAAAAAGATTGGCTCAATTGACAGAATAAATAATAAAAATATTTTCATAAATTGTTTTTGCTAATTTTCTATCACAGATTTTTTTAAAGTTGATGCTACAAACTTCATCGCACCTGAATTGTAATGTAAAGAGAGTTTAATCCTCATGTTATTTTCTATGTTAATCGGGTTATCCAGTAACGCAGCAGCCTGATTTATATGTGAATCTGGAGATCTAGTTGAAAAACTAATGTCAGGTGTATAGTTCACAGAAAACCAATATAAAACAGCATTAATACAGCCTGGTTTGCAAATTTCCAATTCTTTTTCAAAGAGACTTGGTTCATTTACAATATTATTCATATCTAAATTTGCTATATCAAAGCAAATAGACATTTCATGAAATTCCAATTCTTCGAATTTGAAATCAACCATATGAGAAACCTATAACAAATAAATAAAAAAGTAATTTGTTCTTTATCGGAAGATACTTGAAAATTATTTCACATGAAATATAAATCATCCAAATAAAATAAATGGATAAATTTAAATTTTATTTACTAATTAATATTAAGTCTTCAACTTCTATACAATGGTTCCGATGAACATTTGTTTCTTTTAGTCTCTAAATAAAGTCTTGGAATCGGAAAAGAAATAATTCCCAGAAAGCATATTGTATCCCACTGCTAGTTTAAACATTTAACTTCTTTTTAGATAATAGTTTAAGATCTCAAAATCTTAATCAATTGCTTAATTTCAATTTCAGAAGATGAACTTTAGGTATTTTTCATACTTTCATCTTTAAAAGAAAGATTACAATTTAACTACTGAACTAATTAATAAGTTATAACTATTACACTAATTAATATAATTTTATGTCTTCTCTGATATTTCATATCACTCTCAAAACTGAAATTTCATCTTATATAACCTTTAAACTCCATTAGAACAATTAATAAATAATTTCATAAACTATATTCCTAATTTAAGAAAAATCAATCAATTTTCAACTTAATTAATAGCATTGCCGGGAGGTGAACTCGTAATCATTTTTATCAAATTATCTTTGATCCGGGTTGCTGGACAACGTACGGTGCTGTGCAACTAAGTCCCATACTTAGTTTAAAGTATATTAAAATCAAAATAGGAAGGGATGCTGCTGGACACTCCTCCTACTCATGCCGATCAAGCCACCACCAGTATTCTTCCCGACAGCAGATGCACTGAATGTCAGTACTTCTGACAAGTGTGGGTGAAGAAATTAAGTTAATAAAAAAATATATATATAATAAAAACACATAGTTGACTCTAAAATAATGTGAGAGAGAAAGAACAAAAAGATTAAAAATAAGAAATGAAATTTTCATTAATTTACCATTCCCCGACCCCTGAAGCAGTTTAGATAGGATAAAAGTAACTGATAGAAATGTTTGTTATAGAAAACTGTCTGGTCTCAAGTTAAATTTCAGAAAACATATCTAACAGATATCATTGGTAAAGTACTTACACATTTTTTTTTTATTATCCCAATTGGAGAGGTAGGTTATAAATAGATAATTAATGTATAAAAATATACCTTATATTCATTTATGTGTTCGGCAATGTTCAAATCATCTTTGTCTGGATTCATGATGGATAAATCAGCTAATTCTTCAGAAAAAACTAACATACAATTTATTGTCAATTTCGATGGTAACAATAATCCATTTGAGGTGAGTAGATTCCTTAAAACAATAAGTAATTCAGAAAGGTTTGGAAAAATTATTAGGACTGATTTTTAAAATTCATTTAATTTTACCTTAATACAGGCACCAATGATATGACTTCCTCATCTATTTCCCCAGCTGTCGTCAAAATGTCTAACAGAATTACATCATATTTGACATTTGGCTGCTCAAGCAAGGTTAACATTTCAGACCATTCTAGATGTTTTATTTTGTTTTTATTAATTTTAGAATCTAATGATTCTATTATAACATCTAAATCCTCCAAATGTTGACTAGAAAAATGTACTGTTCCATTGAAATATTTACTTGCTAATAAAGAAACATAGGGAAACCAACATAGATCTAGTAATGAAATTTCATTAAACCCATTTCTAATGTGATTAAATAGCTGTACATACACAAGTAATAATGTTTCACAATTCATGAAACGTATTAAAGGCTGAGGTAAACTTGCTTTAGAATTTTCAATACTATTTGTGTCAGTATTAACAGAAAGTATACCATCTTTGCATGACGCAGATACGGAAATAGAACGTTCTTTACTGACGAAACACTGTTTCTTAATTGGAAAGATTGCTTGCTCCCAGCAGCAGCGATTCTGTGATAACGGAGAAGATGTAATCATTATTTCAGAATCTAACATCAACTCAAACCAAATGGCTAAAGCATCGAAATATCCATCTTCCTTTAAATCAATCTTGAAAATTTTGTTTTCATCTCCATTAAAAAACCTCTTCAACTGCGTTGCATTATTGAAATCAAATTCGAAGAGTTTCTGCATCGGCGCGAGGGGTTTAAAACAAATATTCTTTAAATTTTCAGTATCGTATGGTTCAGTAGAATAAGTGTACGACTGGAGTAATGATAAATCAAGACCTTCTGTAAAACTGCGTCTTTCAATACGATTTGAATGCACAATATAATTTTTTCTGGCTACTTCAAGACTTTCTATTGGAGTTACGAAGACCACAGCTCCTTGAGGTATCACTCTATCAAAAATTTGTCCATCATCATTATTTTTCGACTCCAATAAATTATCCCAAGCATGAATTAATGTCTGCAAAATATGTTCCCCAAGAAGACCACCATCAAAAGTTTCAGTGACAGCCACAGATAATCTGTAATATTTAATAATAGTTTATTGCTGTGAATATAATGAAGAGGAGTTGGTTGGGGTGAACAGTCACAAGTCATAAAAAGTAAAAATAAATAAATGATATTTATTTGTATTTTAGCCGATGTTTTGGTCCTTTGTTTAGGCCTTCATAAGTAGTACTGATCGACTAAGGTAGGCAAAAATAAATATAATTTATTTATTTTTACTTAAGAATGCTCACCCCAACCAACTCCTGTTCGTTGTATTATTTAATTTTTGTTTTAATTATAAAATGTAAACAAACTATCTGTCGATTTACAATACACAATATTTCACCTGTTTGGAATATCTTCAGGTATGCTGAGTTCATCAGAAAGTTTATTGATGAGGACGATAGAATCTTTCAAATGATTGGCTTTGAGAACTTTGTCTGCAATTGAAATCATTGTTGGAGAGTAATCGCAACTATAGATGCTTGTAGCCCCAGCTTTACTCGCATAAATACTGAAATGAATACATATTAAATTAGAAACTGAATATTTTTTTCTTTAAGTCAAGAAGAGACAACATGTATTATTATATCACTTTTTTGTTTTAGATAATTTCTATGTCAATTTATCATATTTTATAATTCTGTTAATATTTTCACGCCATACCGTCAAAGTAATACTAACATAATTAAAAAATCTAGCCTTAAAAAAAATCATGAAAATTTAAAGATTTTACAGAGTGCCTTACACGGGTTTAAATGTTAAAGGAATTTATTATTTTTTTTTTTCTATTCAATTTACTATAAGAATATCATTGCATAAATTGTTTAAAAAATTTCCACATTTTAAAAATTAATTAACTACCTTAAAAGTCCTGTACCAGTACCAATGTCAAGAACAGTCTTGAAACCATTTCGAATTTTGTTACTGATTGCTCTGTAGTAAGATTCATTTCTGACTGAATCATTCAGCATACGGAAATGCCAACGTTCGACCAAATGGCTTTTGGTAATTTCTTGATTGCGATACGCTGGTAAGTAGTATTGATTTACTTGTAAAGCCTTCTTGAAATAAACTAAAGCTTCTTTTAACTGATGAAGCCTATAAAAAATAAAATTAAATAATACAAAATCTGTTCTAAAGTTATAAATAAATATTTAAGAAATAAAATCAATATATTTTTATATAGTAATGTTGAGAGCATGCAGAACTTGTCTAAAATATTCCAATTGTTGAGTATATTTAATGCTAAAAGTGAGTTTAACGGTTTAATACAATAGGTCTGTGATTCCTTTATGCCAGGCAATCAAGAAAAATAAAGTTAGTTTATCGAATAATTAAATGATGAAAAGAACATAAAATGCTGCACAGAATGAGGATAAGGTTCAGAAAGATGATTTGTTGACAAATTGTAAAGCTCTAAGGATATATTAGATTAATTAGATTTCCTTTAATCAAGAATTGGAAAATGTATTCTTTTAGAGCTTCTTAATTATAAAAAGACAAGAAAGACCACCAGCTAACAGAAACCAAACAGATTCTTAGCTAATTTATCAGAATAAGAAGAATCCTCTCAATGGAACTAATTGTTGCTATATTTTAATTCTAATAATTACTTTTCTACTGCTGCTAGAAAAGAAAAGTACTGTAATCGAGTAAAATTTTATGATCTGCAATTTTCAACAGATTATTGTATTTCACAGCTCCTCGAGTCCAAACAATACATTTCTAACCATTGGTCAGTCTGTGCTACCATTATCTCTTGGATATGTGGACCAATTTTGTCACTTTTTTTATATATATATATATATAGTATCGGCCTCTGAAACCTGTATACCATACACAAAATAAGTGTTTTTCTATAGACTGTAGTGCCTAAACATCTCTAACAATATTGATGAAACCATAGTCTTCGTCTTAAAGCCCTTCTAATTTTCATATACACAATATATTTCTGAGAATAAAATGCAAAAATTGATGAAACAACAATTTTTTATGGCATAACTCAAAAAGAAAATATTTTAAATTACATTTAGATCATTTGAAAGGTAATTAGATTCTCTACAGAACAAAAAATTCAAATCCAACCAGTATTAGCAAATGTACTACGTATTAATGTTTTCAAAATATTTGCTTTGGTTTCTGAGAAAATTTATAATTTTTGTAATTTTCTACAACCAGGTAAGGAAAAAGTATTGTGATTGGAGACAATTTTAGAGGTGTATTACTTTCCTATTGCTATTATTTAAGGAATGTATTGTAATCAGATCTAATTTTTTCAACTGCTATCCATGATTTTTAAAGTATTTTGGAAGGCCGTTCGTTTACTTTTTTTTTTTAAATAAATCAAAAATGTACATCTCTCAGAATACTCAAGATACTCATTTGAAAGATAATTATTAAATTACCCACAAAGCTCAAATTTATAATGATTTGAATTTATCTGAAATTGGTATGAAAGTCCTGTGAGGGGACACAGCAGATATCTTCAATAATCGTCACTCTACCCTGCACTGGAGAATGAGAAATGATATCAAATAACCATAAATCTTAAGTTGAGGACCAATCATGGCGATACAAATAAATTCTTAAATTTGATAAAAATAATGGCGACGCCAAAGTGTGAGATATGTGATGAAGTCGAGGATCCACTAAATTTGGCGATATACTGTAAGCAGTTTCGCAAAGAGAGGAGAATATATTTCGAGGAGTCAGCACTCAATATATTTAATACAATAAAAGAGCAAGACTGAGAAGGATGTAATCTGATTATAAAATTCATTTAAAACAAAGATTATGTCTTTAATATTTAAATAAAATATATTTCTGTCAAAATAGGATATTGTCTAATATCTTAATACAAAAAAAAAAAAAAAAAATTAGACCATGAATCATTTATACACTAAACAAATAAGTATGGAATATATACTCAGACAATAACCACCTGCATAAATGAGCTCCCAAATTATTCAGAATCACCTCATCATTAGGAAAAACCGCCAAAGCCTGTTCATATGAAGTGAATAAATCGCTATACCTTTCTTCATGTTCTAAGATTTTGCCTAGTGAACCTAAAAAATTAAGATATTTCATAAACATCTGATACTAATGCGGTTTAAATGTGACTTGAGACTAAAGTTAATAAAAGACCTACAAAGTGCAGAAGAAAATGAACTTCTTAATTCATTTTTCCATTCAGGCATTAACTGAAGTGATAATAAATAGTGAATGAACGCCTTTCCTGGCAAATTTTTATTCATATATCTATCGGCCAACTGCCGATACTTGGAGGCTAAACTATTTAATTTCGCTGCCATTGATTCAGAGACAGATTACGAGCGACTTATACAAGTTCACACATTAAATAATTTATGTATTTCAGACTATTTACTATATGACATAAAAAATGAAGTAAACATATCGTCCACGAACATTTGTTCAGAAAATTAATACACAAACACAAAAAGTTCAATTACAACACTACAGCTATTAACTTAAAAGTATAATTTAAAAAAAAAACAGTTTAAAATCAAAGCCCATAAAATGTTTATTCATCCAAGGTAGAAATACCCCAAATGCAAATAAATTACTGCACATCAAATTAAGAGGTTTAAACAAAAAACTTAATCAGTATCACTAATAATTTCATCAATAAATTGGTTTTCTCTAAAAGTATACACCTTTTAAAGTGTCTGGCACGGAAAAAATTCTTAAGAGGGATCCATTATCGTAAAATGCTAACTATAACCATTGCAGAGAAAAATAAACTCGGCAAACACAAACAAAATCATCTCCCTTAATATAATTTAAATTATTCAATTCCGAACATCCCTTTCAAACACAAATTCAGTTTAATTTTAAATGCCGCTCACGATTGCCTAGTTATGTAAGGAAGCGTTCAAAAAACATCGTTGTACCTAGAGGAAGAGAGCTAATTGCTATAAAGTTAATTAATAGAAACTAATATATTCCTCGATGGCGTCAAATTCACAGTATCATTAAATGAGAGTATACAAATTCAAAAATGAAAAACTAAATTTTCTTAAAACCAATAAAAAGTATGATAAACGATAATAAGCCATTTGAATTAATATTAACTGAAAAGAATTCATTTATAATTTGCTTTTATTCTTTTGGTTCATAACTATAATGTAGCCTTTTTAAATTATATTTTAAAATAAAGAAGCCTTAAGGATTTTCGCCTTTTTCCATAATTTTTCATTGTTATCAGACTAGATTGGCGAACGTCGAGGGCTCCAGAGGGATCTCCAAAATCATTGTTGTATATTTTTTTAGTAGCCCAAAAATAATTTCTAACAATTGGTAAGCGCCCCTGAAGATAGGGCGGAGTCCCGGGACGATTGCTCCGGTTACCCCACCCTAAAGCTGGCACTGTTTATAATATATAGTTATTAAAAACTATTAGAAATACTTTTTCACGTTAATGCCTGAAATTGCCGTAATTGCTATTTTAAAATATTTTTTTGAAAATGATCTGAAGGAGGGAGGAAACTGCCTATCTCTAAAAAATGGAATGGAGTGATAGTCAGCGTAAACTTTTATATCTTTTACCTTAAGCACTACAGTTGCCCCATTCCGTCGTTCTTTCGTTCTATTCAGTGATCGTTAGTGATAAACATAACTTCTATATCTTTTATCTTAAGCACTACAGTTGCTCCATTCCGTCGTTCTTTCTTTCTCTTCAGTGATCGTTAGTGATTTTTCGGTTGAAAAAAAAAAACTTTATATTTGGATGTGTACTTAATGGTTCAGATTACAATTGAACGCATATCATACGGATTTTTAAACGAAGAAAAGGCCTAATTTATTCACCACCGTATATCCCATACAATACGCCGCAAATGTTATAGTATGATTTGCTTAGGATAAAAATTGTAAACAAATGATTTTCCTTCCTTGTTCATAAATTATGGCTTGTTACTGTTGTATTGTTAGTCTAATTTTCCTTGTAGAATGATAAATATTACACAGATTGCGTAAATTAATTAAAATATGACTTTATCAGTTGGAGATAATCTTTACACACACGATTAATTATACAATTTGACATGTTATAAATAATAATCGTTTTCAATTATTATATATTTGTTGAAATACAGGAAAATGGCCAAGGTGTCTCAAAGGCTTTATCAAAATGATTCATCTGCTATAAATTGGTCTAATTATAATTATGAGGAAGGGACCAAATTTATTGTTCATGGATTTCTTAACGATATGAACTCAAAAACCATACATAACATAAAAAATAGTATAAAAACATTTAATTTCATTATTATTGGATTTAAATGTGCTAAGCTGAAGTATTTGAAACTAAATACGTTTTCGGTTGTTCATCTAACAGATTTCTTAGACCAGAATTCTGAGGTACAACATAATAGGTGTAGATTGGAGTTATTATACTAAGATTTATACCAAGGTTTTATATAAGTCAAAAAACATTGCAAATATTATTGGAAAATTGGTGGATTTCTTGGTTGAGAAAGGAAGTAAATTAGAAAATATACATCTTATAGAACACAGTTTGGGAGCACAGGCGGATTTGCAGGAGCATCTTTGAAAACCGGAAGAGTTGCCAGGATTTCAGGTAATCATCATATTAAGTTCAGGTTCTCTATCATATTAAATGTAGATTCATCAGCATACCAACCAATTGGGTTACTTTTCACCTGTTCTGGAATTTTTTTGATAATCTTCTTCACCTTCCTTAGAGCATAACTGAAAGAACTCCCTGGTCTCAATTAAACAGAAGAACCAGCGATATGGGATATCACATTTCACCCAGATAACTCGTTATACAAAGTTCTAAGGATTAATGTTAGTGTGAATTTAAAAGTTTTCTAATATTTTTCTCTGTTTTTAGTGTCAAAGGAATATTTTATGGGAAAACAAACCATAGATCTCCATTTTCAATAATCATTAAAAGAAAGTGAAAATAATTAAAATATGTGCTGAATATAAAAATGAAAGCTCTAAAAGGCGTTGAATATTCTTTACAATTGCCTCAAAATACCTAATGACAAACTACTGTTTTAAATCATTATCATTACCTAAACTTTCTTCATAACTTTTTGATCCAGTTAAAATGAAATTTTATAAGTAATCAGTAATAATAATTCTTGTATTAAAAAAACAATTGATAACAACATCCATTTGACAGCCACTTATATTATCAGAGGTGCCCCCCTCCAAGGTAGATGGCGCAAGAACCTACCCTCCCCAACCTCTTCACAAGATATTTTATTGTTCAACTCATCTTAAAAACAGAGCAAGCTAGATCGTAGATCATATACAATTACATTTGCTGTGGTATGTTCCATGTTTTCCCTTTATTCCTTTGTCCAAAAATTCATAATAATTGCCTCGTCGAAATTTGATCCCCTTACAAATTCAAAAAATCCGTCAAAGTATGCCCTCCTCAAAAATTATGATGGCGCATCTTGTGCCATGAAACCCCCTTTTGGGCACTCCTGACTTACATCATGAATACCTTTCTCTGATTTCTAATATGTAGAAAAACAATATAAAAAAAGAAAACACAATGGTTTGGCGCAAAATTTTTTCAATTTTATGTATTTATAATTTTTTTTAGCTTTTAAATGTCTAAATCATCCGTTATTTTCCATCTGAATTCCTCATTTAATATATATTTTTTCTAAATCTCCAAGAATTTTATTGAACAAATACAATATATGTACTTACATCCCTTTTTTACTTTTTCCTTGTACTGCTCCGGGGCATTTTAAGGTCCTCATATAAAAAAATTAACAGAAATTAACTACCTCATTTAATAAAGTAGATAATTTCTGTTATTTAATAATTAAATAAAAATTTAATGGGAAGTAGGTAGCAGCTTGCTTATCTTTATTTATATCTTTTCTTTTATTTCATGATAAAGATGATTTGCAGCTTTGTAGTTTAATTATAATAAAATTCTGTTTGTTCATTCCACTATTTATATTTATTTTTACACTTGATTACATTAATAAGATCAAAAATAAATTAACAATTAGTCAAACACCCTAATTTAATAAACTACTAAAATAATGCATAAATATATACGATTGAAAAAGTATACATTATTCCAAAATTCAAATTAATAAAAAAATATATTTTTTATTAAAATAACAGTTGAACTATTCACCCACAGATAGCAGCACAAATCAAGGAAGCTTTAAAATATTAGTTCTAGATAGCGTCATAAGATGCCAGCACTATCCAAGCAATTTTAAATAATGGCTGGAAAATTTCATGCTATACTAGAAGTTATTAAGTGATTTTAATTAAATTATTATTCTTTTCCTTATTTGTAAGTAGTTGAGTCCCGTAGTTTCAATCCTGCATTAAATTTAAATAGTAAACATCAATGTTATACATTTGAATAAAACAAGAATAACGTTAAAAAGAGAGAAATTCATATAAATAACTGAATAACAACTGAAATGAATTTAGAAAAACAAAAGGGCTAACCTTTAAGAGAAAAGAAACAACTGTATGACATTAAATGTTTTATGTATATATTTTAATTAAAGTTTTTAAATGTCTCCAACTCTTTTCCTATCTTACATTATTTTCCATATAAATATTTTTTTCTCTTTATTTTTTAAATTGACAACTGCTAATGTCCACTGACAACCGGTGAATGAGATTACTATATACTAATAAACTAGGAGAAAGGGCGAGGATAGGCATGAGGAAGAGAAAAAACCAATAATGGCTAATCTTCAGTCATGTTAGTCGTCTGTGATTTTATATCATAATTATTAAGATGATTAAATTTAAATATTTAATCTTTAAACTCTTTATTTAAAATAATAAAATTTAAAAAATTGTAATTTTTGCATTGTGTTATTGCTTAAATGTTTATTTATGTAATTCTTAATGTTACAGGCCAGCACAGTTTCCCATAATGTGTTACTAAGTTAAAATTGTGCATAGAAAATTTTGTAATATTTTTTTTTCCTGAAGTTTATTGTATTAAGATGTTATATAGCATAAAGTTAGTGTATGAGTTTCTTATGTTTTAAATAATTGATTATTTTATTATGTTTTTCTTCATTAGAAATTACAGAATTTAGTTAAGTTATTTATTATTAGTTTCTCGAAACTGTACATTGAGAGTGAAGTGAAGATTTGAGTGCATCTTGAGATATCTATTGTGAACTGTTTATGTAAATATGGGTATGTAATAGTTTTGTTATATGTTTTTAAATATATGATAAAAAATAATAGAAAGAAAGAAATAAATGTCTGTCTGTGACAAGTTCTTTTTAGTTTATCCAGTTCTTTCTTTGTAATTAAACATTATGTACTGTTAACTAAAAATTTTATTGTTTCAGTGTATATCTGATTTAAATTATAACAGTTTGCTTAAATTGTTTTCTAAGGTTGAAGGTAGGTTATTTTCATTCTATTAAGTTATACATCTTCATAAGGAATAATTCATTCTTGTTTTTTTTATTTCAAGTATTCCTTTTAAATTTTAATGCCAGTTTCCATTTAAAATCTTTTGATAGTTAAAATTGTAACATTTTAAAAATAATATTTGAAAACTATCTTCTGTTCTTAATTTATGAAATAGAATGTTTCGATTGTGATATATGTCATGGAGTAAATTAACTAACTTCAATCATTATTTTATCACAAAAGCCAACATTTTGATGTAAACTCATAGGTCTTCATCAAGGATGGAATTAAATCAGATATACAAGTAAAATAGATATGTGTATAGTATAAAAATGGAAGTAAATAAAAAAAATAATTAAAACAATTTAAGGATAAAGACAGTGCAAGAGGCAAAAATAAAATTAATAATAAAGATACATATAACTTAACTTTATGTATCGCTTACTTTATTTTCATTTACTTTTATTATATTTCTTTTAGTAT